GTGTTAAGGCAAGCCAAAAATCCATATGTATCACCACAGATCGTCTTCTCTTACCCCAGAGCTTTCTTTTAAAGGTGCTCCTTCCCCAACCCTGAGCCAAAGATGGATTGCGATCTGGTGCTTGATATGCAGGGTGGATAGTGTAGACTTGAATGTTCCTTTAAAATTCATAACGGCAAAAAGGTGCTAAAATCCACATATTTATAACTGGAGATCTGTTTCACTAGTCGCTGTTTAACTGTCCAGTCACATGGGTTAGTCAGAATGTTTTTCATGAAAGCCACACAGACACCTGACATAAGACAAGCCGCATTAAAATGCCTTTTAAAAATGTTTTATATGTATTATGAACTGCATTAGTCTTATTGCACAATAACCTTCCTTTATTTAAAAAGACTGGAGCTTATTATGTTTTTTTACATTTGTTTTAATGCTTGTGATAACTCCATACCACTAACAACTTTTGATGACTCTGTCTGTATAATACAGTATGTTGTAAAGAGAACGTAAATACAAATTAAAGCCCGAGCGCAGCTGTTATCAACAGAAGACAAAGTAAACCCAGCTGAAAATGTCTGCAGTCTTCTTTCTTTCAGCTCCAAGTCCCATGCATTGTGTAAATCTGTCACGAAAGTCTCTGCCAAGACACGATTTCATGCACTTTTCAAAAGAAGAAAGTCTTCCCAAAATTAGATATCCACCTTTTGAAATATTTAAATACTCTGATGGATGGCTTGAAAGCAAAACTCATTACAGAATAGCACCGGCCTTATTAGTTATCCAAAGACATTTGCATACACAATAAGAACATTTTAGACGAGGGAGTACTGAAAGCTGAACATTGACCACAAGGTGTTTTTCTTTTTACTTCAAAAGGAATTTAGTGTTGATATTAAACATTAAAGCTTTATCACGGGGAGAAAAATGGTCTCACCTCACCATGCCCTTTGTTATCCAACTACCAAAAAGTAATGATGATGAACGGAAAATGAATGCTTGGTGACCATTCACAACCTTTTCGCATTTTACGGGGTTACGAAATTAGGTATAATTTTTAGAGAGGCTTAATTTTTTCTCACTTAACTGCCAGGCTGGGTTCAGTGAGAATACATAACCTTTTCAGAAATGCTCTGCTTCAAATTCAGACAGATACATGACTCACGGTGCAACCAGTATTTATTTAATGACCACTGAACTGCTCAGAGAGGATGGCATGTCACTTTCGATGCTATCCTTTGGAGCCACCAGTTACCATGTGTATAATTGATGTAATTACAGCACCTTCACAAGAAAGATTGACACTTTAGGAGGTGTACATATTTGCTTTGTTGTTGAGAGTAGATGAAAATATTAACACCACTCACGTCTCGGCGTTAAGTAAGGAACAGAGACTATTAGCAAAGCATTAAGACTGTAGTTAAGGACAAATAGGTCACCTGGTTTACTTAAAATATAAAACAATATGCATAGCAGCACACCCAAAACTCAGTAGTTAACAAACTGTATCTTGTTTGTTTATTTTGTACACAGACAAAGGAACAAAATTATAATTTGAGGCTTTAGTGCGAGTTATGTAAGGCTGAATATTTATCTTTCCTGAGTGCAAGAATCTCTTTCAATTGTTCTTAATGAGGAATTAAATGGCCGCCAAAAGAAAAAGCACTGCACCCAGTGTCTTTTATCAAAGCGCTCTCAGTTTTATTTGCAGTCCCTCCAAACGCTTGTAGATAATTTTCAAAAAGCTCTTGGTTGTCACTGACGCTTCTATTTCAGATATACTTTGGTTGGAGAAAAAAGAATGTCAACCAAATAGATAGCAGCCCAAAAAGATAATAAAAAGGCAATGGCTGTTTTATAATACTGAGGTTCGAGCAGTGATATGTTGTCAAATTTCCATAGAAACTTAACAGTGGGAATGCTTTTGAAGCCCACCTTTTTAGTTTAAGCACTCCTCCACGATATGCTATATGGACAGAGACATTACATTACATTGCATTTAGTGGACGCTTTTATGCTTTATGGCATTTAGAGACACTATCTTTACAAACAACCACCAGGCAACATGACATAACTGCACCTTAAACCACAAATTGTAACATTTCTGAAGCTGTAGAGAGAGAAAGTCAAATACCGAGCTCTATAGTCCATGTGTTTTCATAAAACTTTGGACAGAGCCAAGCTAGCTGTTTTCCCTTTGAGCTTGCTAGGCTAAGCTAATTTCCTCCTGGCTCAAGCTCCATATCTATCTCACACACATGAAAGTTACATCCATTTTTCATCTGAGCCTTGGCAAGAACTTAAATAAGCATATTTAAAAAAATGTATCCGACAAAATCTCCAAAACGTATAAAAAGGGGCTTTAAAGCAAGATGTTTTTAGCTTTTGTTGAACAGAAGCCACTATGGCCACATGTCATTTTACCGGATAAACATGCACTACATTTCTAAAGTTCCTCTGCTAAGTTGCTAGAATTTCTTTTGTCACATACCATTGAAATGTTCACCTGTGACATGTTAAAATGTTACAGTAGCACAAGTAAGCAGAGCTCTCCATTCACACGCCACACCTTGTATTTCTCCCGCAGAGATTTCTTTCCAGGGTACCGCCCACCAAGTTGCGCCGCAATTTTGTAAACAAACTAGGCTTGTTTGAGATGCGTGCACTCCACTAGCCCCCCCCCTACGATCACTTGCATACTAGAGAGACATCAGCGCTACCGTGCCCCCCCACCCACGATCACCCTTCATCCTTCGGGAGACAGACCCCCGTTGACATTCGCTTTACAGAGGGCTTCATGGGAACTTTGAGGGGAGCCAGAAGTTGGAGTACCAAACACCGCTGCCAAAATCTCACTCTGAACTCTGTTCAAAACTTGAGAGCCCTGAGTAAGCAAATGCTCAAGAGAAGGCTAGTGAAAGTAAGCTAACATTAGCTACTGCTAGGCTTCATCCCACTAGGAAGGCTATAGGAGTGAAATACCTGAGTAAATTGACTTTATCAAGGTTTATGACTTAGGCTTTTTTTGTAGGTTAAAGGAGATCTATCATGCAAAATGCACTTTGTGATGTCTTTTATACATAAATATGTGTCCCTGGTGCGTCAGGGATATCTCACACAGCCGTCAGCAAATAAAACCCTCTCTCTTTTCCTCCATACCCAAATCTTTTAAAAACGGGTGTACAACGAACGGATACAGATTCCATCCGAACTGACGTCAAATCGGCAGCGGACCCACAGAAAGCTGCTATCAGAAACAATGCCTGACGTGTTTTGGACGTCTTTGTTTACATTAGCAAGCCTCGCTAACACTCAGAGCTAACCTGTACTGTAGAGCACATGTGTTTAAAAAGCAGGAAATTAAAAAATAACTCACCTTGTGATAAACCCGCAAGAGAAAAAGCATTTGAGCTCCAAACTGTTTCAGAAATAATCTTTGACGTGGTTTAAACAGGATGGGGTTTTATCACAGCAGAATTTAACTTTATCTCCGGTAGAATTCTGATCAGGCATTAGCTCCGCCTCCTCTTCTTTATTTTTTTTTAAGCTAAGGACCCAAGATCCGCGTTTGTCTAACAGGGCTGCAAAAGAAGGGTTTAAGCAGTATGAGGCATGGCTACAATGGGTGATCTGTTTGGTATTTTGAAAAAAAAAACTTCACAGACATGTTTTGTATAGGTATGGCCCTACAATATATATGTTTATTTTTCAAATATAGCATGATAGGTCCACTTTAAGTTAGAGGCAATAATATTAACTTAACACAGTTTTAGCTTTCTTCTCTTATTTCTTGATCCATTGAGGTTGAAATTGACATATTTAGTATAATTTTTTATGAAGCTTAAAAAATAATGTTTTATCATACTGTATTATTTGAAACGTTAATGGGAAACGTTTTTCACCACAGACATGCTAAGCACTTTGTAATAAGGACAGTTTAATAACCACACCCTTTAGTGTAGAAAAAGTCAACCCAGTCTCACGGCATTTCGTGTTATAGTCACGCAATTAATCTATTGATTCGTGTTCACCAACACGATTTTCCCATTGTTTTCATGTCACACAGAAGAATTGTAGATAATAACGAAGTAGAAGGAAAAAAATATTTTAAAAAATACTGATTTCAATATTCTGAGAATGAACGATTTTAGAAGCAATGTATTTCTATTGGTAGTATGTTTCGTGCCTGCACCAAATAATAAAAAATTAGAAGGAAAAATACAGATTTCAGTATTCTGAGCCCCATTTATTTTCCTCGCGGACGGCAAAAAAAGTCAGACATTATACAATTTAAAATAAAAACAATAATCGTGGCTTGATATTGAGTAAGAAAATGTATAATGTCTGACTTTTTTTGCCGTCCGCGAGGAAAATAAATGGGGCTCANCCCACGTGTGGAAGACACTTGTGGCTTTTTTGGGCCTGGCATCCCCTCACCAAACACGCTGTTCCTTTAGTTCTTGCAGGGTAACCTAAGCCGTGCCATTCCTCTCTACATACTCCTATACCATGGCCTCTTTACACCCAAACTCTCACTCTGTGTGTGTGTGTGTGTGTGTGTGTGTGTGTGTGTGTGTGTGTGTGTGTGTGTGTGTGTGTGTGTGTGTGTGTGTGTGTGTGTGTGTGTGTTACCTTAGGTCCCAGCACCACCTGTCAGGAGGACTCCTGTGCCAACATGGGTGTGTGTATCCAGCAGTGGGAGAACTACACCTGTGACTGCTCCATGACCTCGTACACTGGCACACAGTGCAATGACCGTAAGTGCTGATCTCACTTTGATTATCCATATCAAAATCCCACACACTAAAAACCAATTGTTGTGCCTCCAATTACTGATCCTCAAAGTAATATGAAGCTGATTCAGGTCAAATGATTTTATGAGGCATATTTAAAAATGTCAGGGTTTGCCGTACACACCAGTGCAGGTAGCTCAATCACAAAGAAAGAAACTTGTTATGTCAT